ATTGTATAACATTGTGTTCTGAACAGATAACCGTCAATTTAACGTAGGAAAGTTAACGACTAGCTTGGATGAATTTGTAACGGCTTTTAGTCACATAGTTAGAAAGCCAGGAAAATGTTTAGAAGTAAGTGAATTTGTCTATATTCTTTGATATATTATTTAATTAAATAAAAATTGTTAAGTGCTTTACTATAATTGCTAAAAAAGTCAGGCTTAACTCTCCATGACAATTGAGGGCAAGAAATTTATTACTTGTTTTTCATGTTTATTTTTTATTATAAAAGTAACTAAAATGTAAAAATAGTGATCTCTTTAGGTTAGATTAGATAAAATAAGTAATAATATAATAATTCACGAAGCACACACACGAGCAGCTCGTGGGTAATGTAATTCAATGGCATAACGTGAGCTGCACATTCCCCGAGTGATTTACAACTCATAATGGTGTATATAGCAGTTAGACACGGTTCAAAGAGCAATAAAAAGGGCAATAAAACAATAAAATTTAATTATAAATAGATGTATAATGTTACGAACTTAGAGCTACTTAGGATAAACAAATGTGGTTTCATGTTACAATTTGAAGTCATACTAGAAAGAAAAGAAGGTTAATTTAGGTTTATTTTGATTTTTTTTGGTGGTTACGAGATCGGTCGAATTGACCGATCCCATTTTGAGATTAGGGTAGAGAAAATAACATATAAACTATAAGGATTTAGTGAAAAAAATGCTTGAAATGCATTTAGGAGGTTTTTAGGGATTACACAAAGGAAATTTGAGATTTTTAAGATGACGAAAAGTATTTTTAATTTTAACATGAAAATTACTTTGCACACAGACTATGCAAAACAAATACTCAATATATTCATAGACAAAACTTTATTTTATTTTGTTAAGCGTACTTCACTAAGAAATATGACTTTTTGTATGTGAAAGACTTGTAATATTAACTGAAAGACTGCCAAATTTCGTGAAGATATACCCAATATATATAGTTATAAATAATAAATTTATGTCAACTTTAAACGATTACAGAAGGTCACGTGACTCGGTCAAATTGACCAACCCCATGTCAAAAGATTTAAAAGAGACATGTATTCTATACAACTGTCAATCTTTAAAGAGACACATATTCTAGACCAGTGGTTCCCAATCTTTTCACCACCAAGGACCCAATGTTTTTGAAAGATTTCATCTACCGAACAAACTGTTTTTATTAACTAATAATTAACTCGTTTTAATGGCTTTTCTCACAAGACAACTGTCAATTTCAATACTGTCCTAAAATCATGTGTATTTCCTTTCACATCTAAAACACTAGTTACATTTATAGCTAGTAATTACCCATTTATTTTAACTTAAATTCTTATTCAATTTTGCATGTCATTTTAGCCATAACAAATATGCATGATTAACAGCTGAACAATGTTTCTTCTGATCACCCTGCCCCCTTCAACTTCTCCTTATTCCATATACTACTATAGAAACAGTTGAAAAAATTATTTTTTTGGTCACCCTGCCCCTTGAACTACCCAGCTTACCCTTCTTTAATATACTACTATAGAAACAGTTGAAAAATTCTTTTTTTAGTCACCCTGCCCCTTGAACTACCCAGCTTAGCCTTCTTTAATATACTATTATAGAAGCAGTTGAAAAATGCTTTTTTTGGACACCCTGCCCCCTTCAACTACCCAGCTTACCATTCTTTAATATATTATTATAGAAACAGTTGAAAAATGCTTTTTCTGATCACACTGGCCCTTAAACTACCCACCTTCTCCTTCTTTAATATACTACTATAGAAACAGTTGAAAACATGCTTTTTCTGATCACCCTGCCCCTTGAACTACCCAGCTTAGCCTTCTTTAATATACTATTAAAGAAGCAGTTGAAAAATGCTTTTTTTGGTCACCCTGCCCCTTGAACTACCCAGCTTACCCTTCTTTAATATACTATTATAGAAACAGTTGAAAAATGCTTTTTTTGGTCACCCTGCCCCTTGAACTCCCCAGCTTCGCCTTCTTTAATATACTATTATAGAAACAGTTGAAAAATGCTTTTTCTGATCACCCTGCCCCCTTG